CTGGAGAGGTCCCCATGGATGCCTTGAGGACTCTGACTTCTTCCTGGTAGGAGTGGCTTGAGGAAATAATGAAGAGAAAAAAAAAGAAAAGAAAAAAAATGGTCTTTCCCTTTCCTTCTCTTCCTTTTTTCCTTTTCCTTTTCCTTTTCCTTTTTCTTTTCTCTTCTTTTTTGTCCCAACAGGGAGCTCAGGGACAGATATTCCCCCCAGGCCCCACCTCATTTTGGACAGCTCAGACAGGAGTGTAGTGAGCCAAGCACCTCCTTCAGCCACAAAAGAGAGAGATTGCAGAGAGTCACCCCCTGCCCTGATCCCAAATCTTCCAGGAATGTTGTCTTGCTCCATATGGGCCTTTTCCTGTGTGGGCAGCTGCCATGAATGGATGATTTAGATCAATGAAAGAGATTTCCATTGTCAAATGTATTAACAGAAGTGGGTTTATTATGATGTTGCAAAAGCAAGACTTGAAAAGTTCAGTGTCGAGGTTTTCCATTATTTAATAAATGGGAGAGAAACCCAAAGGAAAATTGAGTTAGAATTGAGCTGGAAGGATTCACACCAAGATCTGAGACCCTCCCATTGAGTCATGAGGTTCAGAATGTACCCCCTTGCTTCCTGGACCCCTGAGGGAGCCAAGGTGCAGCTAAAATCCAGTCTTAGTCTCAGATTTGGAGAAGGGTTTATGTCTAATGGGATTATCTCCACCAAAAAGTTAATAATAATTAGCAGTGAGTATCTACATGGGTTGGTAATTTTACATTACTGTTAAATCAGCCTGTTATCAGCAACTTAATGAGGATTTGTCACCAGTAAGGGATTCCTCCACCTTGGGCAAAGAGGAATCTCAGTCTCAGGTGAAGAATCTCAGTGTCAGGTAAAGAATCTCAAATCTGAGAGATGTCCCTGCTCAAGAAGAGACTCACCTGGCACACAGTCCAGTTGCAATGCAGGGACAACTCCAATTGGACCCATCCAAAGATCCAATGTTGATGAAAGGTCTCTTTGCCTCGAGGAGCAACACTGAGAGGTGTCCCAGCTTGAGGGGAGGTCACCATCACACCAGGTAAGAGCTCACAGAAGGCTCACTCAGGCTCTCAGTTGTGGAGTAAAGTGGTTGGCTGAGAGTCAAATTGCAGAAAAGGTGTGAATGAAACTCCTTGTGGACACAACTTGCTTCATTCCTTGATAAATAAGTCCTGGAAAAGCCTCCTCCATTCATGTGTTGGCCACATAATCAGTGTTCCAACCCCCTGTGCATCGATGCTCGCTGTGTCACTGCTCCTTTGTGGGTTTTCTGGAGGAGTTCTTGGCCTGGATATAGCTCAGGCCTTCAATTCCTTTGGATCCTGTACCAAACTCCTGCTGGTTTGGTTACAGGGTGAAGCACATCTGTCACAGCAGACCAGGTAAAATACTTTGCATCATCTTCAGTTTTCAGATTCTTCCCAATTTTCCAGCACAGCCACATTTTCCCCAGTGTAGCAACCAAGACATAAGATTTTTTTACATGTGCAACATATTTATCCACCTCCACAGCATTGCTGGGCTTGTGAGATCACGGGGTATGAAGAGTCATGGAATGGTTTGGGTTGGAAGGGACTTTAAAGATCATCTCATTCCAAACACTGCCATGGGCAGGGACACCTTCCACTAGCCCAGGTTGCTCCAAGCCCCGTCCAGCCTGGCCTTGGACACTTCCAGGGATGGGGCAGCCACAGCTTCTCTGGGCAACCTGTGCCAGGGCCTCCCCACCCGCTGAGTAAAGAATTGCTTCCCAATATTTGATTTAAATCTCTCTTCTTTCAGTTTAAAGCCGTTTCCCTTTGTCCTATCACTATCTCTCCACGGAAAACTCACTCTCCCTGTTTTTATAAGCCCCCCTTAAGTACCGGAGGGCTGCAAGGAGGCCTCCCCAGATGTTCTCTCTTTGTCTCATGGCTGTAGCCCGAGTGACTGCAAGGTAGGATCACAGGGACATGGGACAGTTCAGAGGGACTTCAGGAGGACTCTTCCAAGCTGAAGTATCCCGTGACCCTCCCTTGCAGCCCCACCACAATTATAACCACAGTGCACACTGATATCCCCACACTGACCTCCTGCATCCCAAGGCTGTTACTGACAGTCCCATGAAAACAGCAGGGAGAAGTCCTCCCTTCTCTAGCTCCCCCTGGTGAGAAGCAGCTGGACCTCCTGATCCATCTCTCGGGCTGTGATCCAGGATTTGGGGTCTCCTGCCCTCCCAGCCCATCACCTCCTGTGGTGCCTGCTTGTATTTCCCTTCTGCCTGTTGACGCTACAAAATCATCAAATCATTCATGTTGGAAAAGACCTCAGGATCGAGTCCAACCATTAACCCAGCACTGTGAAGTCCACCAAGGATCGTGGTATAGGAGATGTAGGGTGAGAAATACCTCCAGAGGAAGGATGGAGAAGCCCTGAGATTCACCATCAGGCACTGCTGATTGAAAGAGTGTTGGATCACAGCTCAGGGAAGAGCCTCCAGGCAGCCCCACACCTCTGCAGTCATTCCAGATATTTCAGGACATCCAAATTATTCCAGGCAGTGCAAGGTAAGTCATGACATCTGGGGGACCTACTGGGTCGTGATGACTTTGGATGAAGGCTCCAGAAAGCATCAGTCCTGAATTCCACTTGACAAACCCTGAGCCTCCTGCAGTCCTGCCTACAAACCTAAAATCTGGCAAAGAGCCCATGGAGCAGAATCAAGGAGACAAAGGACACATTTTCTTCCTGGAAGATTTCAGGCCTTCAAGGGTGAGCACCAAGGAAGTGAATAATTTGTCACTCAATTAATGTCTTGTCCCCTTTTATGAGTGAAATCCTCACCCCCCTTGCTCGCTGAGCTGGGGTTCAGGGCCTGCCTGGCCATGCAGGAGTTGGCAGGGAAATCAAGGTGAGGTTGAGTCTTCCAGAACCTGAAGGGGGCCAACAGAAAGGTTGGAGAGGGACTTTGTACAGGGACATTTAGTGGTAGGACAACAGGGAATGGTTTCAAGCTGGAAGAGGGAAAGTTTAGGTTGGATATTGGGAAGGAATTCTTCCCTGGGAGGGTGGGGAGGCCCTGGCACAGGTTGCCCAGAGAAGCTGTGGCTGCCCCATCCCTGGAAGTGCTGAAGGCCAGGCTGGAGCAACCTGGGCTAGTGGAAGGTGGCCCTGCCCATGGCAGGGGGTTGGAACTGGACGATCTTTGAGATCCTTTCCTATCTAAATCGTTTTATAAATCTATGATTGGCTTTGCAGGGCAGCATCAGCATTACCCTGGCCCTGCTGGAAACCATAACCCAACATCCCTGAGCCAGAAATGCTGTGGGACCTCTGTAAAATCATCACATGATATTGGGAAGGAGGCATCCTTGTGGGTTTGAGAAACTTGCAGAAAACCAGCCTGTGCTGCACAGAAAAGGGAATTCCTCATGTCCTGGAAATATTCATCCTAGGGGGATGTAGTTTTAGGGGTGTCCAGAAGATTGGGTAACTTCAGCCCCAGGCCAGGACTCTCCCACAGTAGGTGCAGCTTGTGGGGTCAGGAGAGGTGTTTCCCAGCACCCAGGAGCAATGAAACCACACATGGGGCGCTTTTTAAAAAGCAGACAGGGCTGGAGTTTCCACCTCTTTTATTAGAAATAAGACACATTCATTTTGTGCTCTGAAAACTGTACAGAAAAAAAAAAATAAAAATTTGACCAACATGGAGAGGAAGGACAGGAAGGAATGGCAGGGGGGACAGGGCACGGGAAAACAGAATTAACCAGAGGAGCTGAGCAGAGAAAGTCGAATATCAACAGTTTTAAAACAAACATTTATCTCTGTAGTTACATCACATCCTTAATGTCCTGCAAAGGAGTGAATGGGCGGATGAGGAAGGCTGGAGTGAAGAGGGAAGGGTAGGTTGGGCAGAGGAAAGGGGGGGGAAAAAAGAGAGAAAATAATTAAAACACAGTAGAAAGATATCTGTATGCTAAAATTCAGTGTGTAATTAGAATAATTACAATATCATACAACCCGGCATCTGAGGGAGGCCTTTGTGCTTTCCTGTTGCAGAGAATAATCTAAAATTGAACAATAATATCACAGTTTTATAAGTAACCACTTTCCCTCTTTTTGAACTATTTGGATTTATTTTAAGTTTTCCTTTCCATCCTTCACATTCTACAGTTGATGGCACAGGAAATGCCACTGTCCTTAGAGAACACCCAGGTGGCCCAAAGGAAAGTCAAAGCAGATGTTGGCACTCAAAGCAACATCTGCCTGTGGGGGAAGCACAACTGGGGGCAGTGACTGGTTTGCATCTTGTATCCAGTGGTAGTTTTTCCCTAAAAATGTTTGTTCTTTTTTTAATTAAAAAGATACCCAAGCACAGAGTAATAACTCAGAACCCTGTTCAAGTTTTACTGTTTTCTGGCACATTCTGGCCACTCGCAACCAGAGGTTTGTCACCACCCACCTCCAAAATTGAGAGAGTTGTTCCAAAAATCAGACAGACAAGTGCTGGGAATGATAAAAATAATTTAAAAACTGAAATCTGCGTGTAATGTCAGGGGGGTATTTTTTAACGATAAAAATGCTGCACAACACTTTTTGGGGTGAAATGTAGGTATCTTATTTTTTTGTAAACAGCCTCGAGAAATGTTTAAGGAAAGAAAAAAAATTTAAATTGTTGCTTTGTTTTCATGGTGGAATGAAAAGATAGGATTTTATGGTGAGGGGTGTCCTGCTCTCCTGATCAGCTGCACCTCTTCCTTCGTGTAGGACCACAAACCTGCTGGCTCTGGGCAGTGGGGAGGGAGGAGAAGAGGCAGCCAGGGGAAAAATAACCACAGCCCAAACTGAATGAAACAAAGCAAAACACTGTGTGTGTTCCCACCATCCCAAACTTTCCATGGAGCAACTTGCCTTCCACCTTCAGCAGGTGGCATCCTCACCCCATGCCTGGCACAGAAAGGCATTTGAAATGACAAGAGCCAAAGAAAAGAAAGGTCTCGGGTTTCAAGTTCTCTTTTTATTGAAGAAAAGAAAAGAAGAAGGAAAAAAATAGATTATTTTGTTTGTTTTTTTTTGTTTCCAAGTGGACGTTATTCGTGTTGTCAGTTTGTCTCAATGTCCTAAGGCAACGTCTCTGTATTCCAATATCTCCAGGTACACTGGCAGGTCTGTCTTTCCCTCATTCTCTCTCTGCCTTCCAGGGAGGGAGGGGCAGCTTGGAATAAATCTGAAGTCCCAAAGCAAGGAAAAATAACAGAAAAGCAAACAAAAAAAAAAAAAAAAAAAAAAAGGATGAGGCCAAAGGACCTTTGCAAGGCCCCGGTGCTGAGTTTATCTATTTAACAGTCAATGAAACGACCTACATTCCTCTGGTTGGTCTGTTTTCCAACACCTTCCACCCTCTCCCTGGAGGTGGGGCGAGGATTTGGAACTGGTCCTGTGCTCCTGTGCCTGTCCCATTCCTGAGGGACACAACTCCAAGGAGCTCCGCTGTGGAGGGATGAGAGGAGGAAGCCCCACCTCACCTCACCTCTTGATGCCACCAATTCCCCCTCCAGGCTCCATGAGGACTCGCCGTGGACGTGCCACAATTCCAGGTCATGGCGTGGCACACGAGTGGGAACATCTTCTTGGAGCATCCCATCTCCTTCCTTCTCTGATGAGCTGCTGAGGGAGAGGTGGGGGACGAGGATGGACCCCTCAGGGCCGGGTCTTCCCCGGCCAGGCCACGTCCCCGCGAGGCTCCCGCTCTCGTGGTCCCCAAACAACCCCGACCTTCTTGGCCCTCCGTGGTGGCTGCTGGGCCGCTGGTCCTTCCACACCTCCCCGTGGCAGAGCAGGAAGGCTCCTGGTGTGCAGAACCCGCGAGCATCTCAGCAGGGTTCATCCCCTGCAGCCCCTCCCCACCCTCTTCCTCCTCCTCGCTCTCCTCCAGGCTCTTCTTCTCCAGTCCTACCTGGGAAAGCTCGTGTTGTCCTGAACCTACAGCTACTATACTCTATAAAGTAATATTTCCCCCTCTCTGCTGAGAAACAATACAAAAGTTACTCCATCTTACCAAAGGTTTCAAAAGAAACCAAACACTTCTCTTGCTCGGTTCCGATTTAATTTAATCATTTCTTTAAAACGTGGTTTGTTTGTTTGTTTGTTTGTTTTTTCTTTTTTTTTGTTTGTTTCGTTTGTTTTCCGGAAAAAAAAAAAGTCCTTTTTCTTCCCTTTCTGCTCAGACCTCTGTCTGAAGGTCAATAATGTCTTGTCCCACCAAGGGGATGGTGGCCCCTGTTTTCTCCCACTCTACAGTTTTTAGTTCTAGGGGAGACTGTGCCACGGGTTCCATGTCCTTTTTAACCCATGATGGTGGGGACTGGACTTTCCTGATGCCTTCCCAGGGTCTCTTGTTTGGTGTCTGCTGTTTTTCTTGCTGCAAGAGGAGGGAAGTGTAAGAAAGGAGAGAGAGAAAGAAAGAAAGGTTAGTACCCACGCAACAAATACCGTGCTTTTACCTCCTCTTGCATCAAAGACAGTTTTTTTCTCTGTAGCTCTTGATCCAAAATAAAGTGGAGTTTCAATAAAACTGATACTGGGCGTGCAAATTGGCCGTTTTCAGGAAGAAAATGTTGCTTTCTGTCCACTGCTATCTCTATCAACTAATGCCTAGATATTTTGACTTTCAGCTCAAGCTTTTGCCACCTGCAGTTCCACTGAAAAACTGAACATGGTTTTGAAAATTTAAATTGTTTTCCTGCTTCTACAAGGGCATGGAGTGACAGGACAAGGGGAAATGGCTTAAAAATGACAGAGAGCAGGTTTAGATGGGATCCTTCCCTAGGAGGGTGGGGAGGCCCTGGCAGTGGTTGCCCAGAGAAGCTGTGGCTGCCCCATCCCTGAAAGTGTTCAAGGCCAGGCTGGAGCAATCTGGGCTAGTGGAAGGTGTCCCTGCCCACAGCAGGGGGGTTGGAACTTGGTTGGCTTAATCAGGGGCCCATCCTGAACTCCTCTTCATGGCTGCCCAGAGAATCTGAGGCTGCCCCATCCTTGGAAATGTCCCAGCCAGGTTGGATGGGGTTTGGAGCAACCTGGACTAGTGGAAGGTGCTCCTGCCCATGGCAGGGAACACGATGAGCTTTAAGGTCCCTTCCAAGCCTAACCATCCTATGAGATCCAGGTTGCAATGAGGTCTTTTTGTACATAACACTGCATCTGATATGGATGCACATTCCTTGTGCAGCACAGCTATTTTTAGGCTATTTAATTGCAGCAGAACCTGCTCAGTGTTTCACCAGCGAGGCCCTGCTGTTTGACGAGCTCTGGAACCGAAAACACTTCCATCAACTGCACCCCAAGCCTCCCAGGCTTTATTGACTTCTGTCTGCCAAGTCTCCCATGGCATCCCACCATGGATATCGATCTAGGGAATATATTCCAGTGTTTCTGCTGATCTCCACCAGGATTCAGGCTCTGGGGAGGTTCTGTAAGATGTGTGTATATGAAGGGGTAACCATGGAAAGACTTTAAATGAGTTGTTCCACAAAGTTTCCACCCCTCTGACCACGAGTGATGCTTTTCACAGCTGATCATCCCCACAAAACACTCCAGCACTGGGCAAGGAAAGGCTCCCCTGCCTCTGACAGGGGCACAGAGCCCTTTTCCTGACAGAGGGAAAGTGCCAGCAAGCGGGAATGGCGGGAGAAAAGCAGCTGCAGGGAGGACTCAATAAGGAGAGGAGAAGCGTGGGGAGAAGGTGAGGACACAGACACGATGATGTGCAGCCCAGGACATGTCACAGCTCGATGCTGCCACCAAAATGGATTGATTGAGGGGAGATGAAGCCACACAGGGGCTGTGGGGTCCTGACTGTGCTCCAGGAGGCTGCAGGAAACCTGTTGGAGCCCTGTAGGAAACCTGAAAGCCCATCTGCCACACGCTAATCCAGCTGCCTCATTTCGTCCTTTCCTAAGACATTTTTGGAAGCCTGGTGTTTTTCCCACCTCCAAACTGCAGTGCTGACAGGAAAGGTGCTGTAGAATTATCCCTATAGGGGCAGCTTTTGCTGCACCACCCAAGCCACAGATTTCTGCTTTTCCAAACTTTAGCTTTTAATATAAAAATACAATGTGCTTGGTCCTGCCTCCTCCCCACTCCCAGGGAGAAGGCTCTGGGTGAGAGCATCTGGTGGTTAGAGGGTGGTTAATGTACAAACCATCTCAATGGGAAGTGAAAACTGAAATTATGTTTATTTTAATTCATAATAAACAATTATTTATTAAATAAATAAATAACATCTTAATAAATATGATTTTATCTTTAATTCAAAGAGAGAAAACCAACATTTTTTAAGTCCTTTGAGAGTCGCTGGTTTGTTTTTGTTGGTTTTTCTTTTTTTCTTACTAAAGTTTTGTACAAGTATTGCTCAGAAGAATGTAAAACACTCCAGTTCTTGAAATCCTCATCTGAGGTTTTCATTAAACTCTCCAATACAGAATTTGTTAATGCTGCTGGTGTTATTCTTATTTTATTCCATTATTTAATACAATGGTGATTAACACTAATAGGATGGAAAAGGTGATAAAATTCTTGACTTATTCCATTCTCTTTTTTTTTTTTTTGAACTTATTTTAGAACCACTCCTACTAAAAGCTGAACCTATTTATCTCTGTGTGTGTCTTAATGAGACAAGTTTGAGGCTTCCTGAAGGGAAATTTCTACCTACAGTGTTTTTTGCAGACCACTGAATGCCTGAAAAGATGCAGAGAGAAGGGACACAAAGAGACAAAAGCACATATAGAACAAAAAATGGAATGAAATTAAAGTTTCCCAAAAGGTGAAGAAAAAGAACCTTGCTCAGGACAGAGTTTTCAATGAAAAACATTTGGTTTTCTCCCACCATGTGGAAATGCCACAAGTTTTTAAAGTTCCCACTGTCCACAGCTGTATTTAACAGAGCAGTACAAGGGATCTTAGGCATGAAGTTCATAAATAATTCCATTTTTTTCCCCCTCAAATGAAAGCTCTTCTTTGCTGGCATTATTTACAGCCACCTTCAGCAGCAGGTTCTTCTATTCCCATCCAATCCCTGTTTTCACAGTCTCTCCATCTGCCACATTCCCGACCTTCAGCCTCTCCTTCACGCTGGGAGGGTGCAGCCAGCTCTGATCATGCACTGGACGTGATCAGCAAACCTCAGAGCCCTCCTTGTCACGGATTAGAGAGCCAGAGCAGCTGCAAGTCCATGCAGGGAACAGAAATTGTGGGAATAAAAACTCCAATAAAACCAATTATAAGTTCACATCTCCACCAGTGGCCTCTGATCAGACCCAGCACCGGGGAACAACACCCAAGGGCTACAATAATTATTCACTGGTGATAAAAGCCAGACATTAAATGTTGGGAGTTATTAAGAGGAGAAAAATTAAGAAAGGAAGAGAGAATGAAACAGCAAATATTTTATTGGCAGTGCACCTGCATCCTGAATTTTATGTGCACTCCATGGGATTCCTGGGAGAAGGATACAGGGGAAGTGATAAAGGTGGCAAGTTTCCAGTCAGGAACAAAGGTATGGAGGAGGAAAATCCCCCAGACTATGATCTTCCATCCTTAAAAGGGATTGTGGATGGATATCAAAGAGGACTTTTGGATGGTAGGAAGGGATCACTGATGGGAGGGATCATCTCTTCCAACATGAGAACTACAGAGCAGGACAGGACAGCAAGGAGTGAATCCCAGGAGCTGGGCCTGCACATGGGGCCCAGCCATACTCCAGACCACCTTTCCACAGCTCTCTGTTCAAGCTGAAAGCTTCCAAACTTACAAAAAACAGGTGGAAACATTCAAAGAAGCAAAATCCACTTGAGTACTACGAAGTGAAGTGACACCGTTCTGCAGCAGGGGGTCTCTGAGCACGAACTACTGGAGTCTTGGGGATCACTTGAAGATGCACCACCATGTGCTTGCCCAGTTTTTGTATTTTTCCAAGCTTCTCTTTACTCTGCCATGGAAAGGAGGCAGAGACTGGTCATGGGTCCAACCCCATGTGGTGGTTTCCACCCACCTCATCAGTGTGATGTGTTACCTGGCTGTGACTGCAGCAGGCTGAGTGACCTCAAAGATGTCTATTTACAGCTAAAAGATGAAGAAGAGCTCTAGGAAATGAGGAAATGGAGAAAGGAGCCTTGCTTTTACCTTCTCACTTCTCAGAGAAGAATTAGACTTCTCTAATGATGTGAGCGGAGGTGCCATCTCAGGGATGGGTGCAGAAGGACTCGGTGCCCACTCAGGATAATCAGCCTGGCTAAGCTCTGCCAAGGATGTTGGGAAACAAAGGAAAATCTCCTCTTGGCACCAGGCACCCTGGGAATTGGTAGCAGGTTCCTGGGAACAGCTCCCCTTTTCTTTCCCTCCATATGGAAAAGGTTTTTATGGGGCCTCGGCCACTCGAACAGCACAGAGAAACAGCCTCTGGGCTCACGCCTCAGCTCTGGCATTTTCCTCCAGCTCCACTGTGGGGTCTTAGCAATCCTTGCAGACAGGAGGGAAAACTTAACTATGCCCAGAAAAGAAGAAAAAACCTGGAGAGAGAGGGTTGTGTAATCCGGCTGGAAAAGGCGCCGGAGCTGGCGCAGGGCCTGGCGCCTCGGAGCCAGCCAGGAATGGCTCCAGCCAGGGGCTGAAAGCAGCAGGGGCTGCTCTGCCAGGAACTCACGGGGACAGAGACAGAGCCATCACTCTGCCCTGACACAGCCCAGGAGCCCCTGGACACTGGGAAGGGGGGAATGTTTATCAGTTCCTGCCTGGTGCCAGGATGGCGGAGCAGAAGGCTTTGTTGGAGGGGTGGGAAAGGAGGGAGCACCCAGACTCCAAGGTGGGGTAAAACCTGCTGCACAGGGCAGACTGGAGGTCTTCAGCCCCTTGAGGGCACTCAGAGCCTCCTTCATTGAGCTGTGATTTAATTTTGGCTGCAAATCTTTAAGATGGAGGGAGAGGATTCAGGTCAAAGGCATTTAAGATGCAGGGCCAACGAAAATCCCCAAATCCCTAAGAAAGACAGAGGCAAAGTGCACTGGGATAATCCACACAGGCCTCTCCTTCTAAAGCTGGTCCTGGCAGACTCTCCAACAAGTCACCTGGTGGTTACGGAAAGGTCTCGGTGGTGGAGCAGGTACTTCCCTACCCTGGAGTCTTCAGAGAATCATCCCAGAATCACAGAATGGTTTGGGTGGGAAGGGAGCTTAAAGACCATCTAATTCCACCCCTCTGCCATGGGTAGGGATGGCACACACTACACAGTTTGCTCCAAGCCCAGCCCAATCTGGCCTGGGACACTTCCAGGGATGGGGCAGCCACAGCTTCTCTGAGCAACCTGTGCCAGGGCCTCCCCACCCTCCCAGGGAAGAATTCCTTCCCAACATCCAATCTAATCCTGTT